CCCCTCCCTCTCTGCAGAGACACCTGCCCTCCTCCCCGCTCAACCTCAGCACCCTCCGCCTACCCCCACCCCAGCTCTGGCCAGGGATAGTGTCCCTGCCTCCCAAGAGAGTCCTATAGTCCTATAGTCCTCTCCAAGGATAAAGGACAAACCAGGCAGTTCCCTCCAGAGGGGGAAGCTGGGGGCGGGGGCGGGGGGCGCCGAGGAGAAGAGAGACCAAGGGCTTCCAAAAATCCCAGGCCTGGAAGAGACCAGCAGGATCGAAACCTTGTTAAACTTTGTAGCCGCAATCAAAGCTGGAGAGTTGTAAGTTCTGTTCTGCGTTGGGGGTCTTGGGCCAGGATAGGAATTGGCGTCATAAGAGTCTTGTGCTTAGAGACTGGGCTAAGAGGGATGGTATACTTGTGCGGAGAGGTAGATAGAACGCAAATTGGCCTGTACCACGTGTCGTGACCCTCTTCCTGACCCTACTGTTTCCCACATGTGACCTGGTGTGAGGGAGAGTGCTTCTAAATTTGCCTTTCTAAATTTGAATGTGGGCTGGCCGCTCCCTGAACCTTAATGTCCCTCACCTACCCAAGCTCTGCCCTTCCTGTCCATGAGGTGGCTCTCATCCTCAAAGCTGACTCAGAGCCTCCCTCAAATCCCAAATTAACAGAAGAGAATACCTGTACTCCTCTTGGGCTGTATCTACCACCCTGCATGGAGTGTGGTCTTCTAACACCATCCATAGTTCATTCTTCGGCAATGCACCTGCAGCCCTGTGCCGCCACATCTGCCTGACCCTCCTACCCTAGCTCTGCATCTGCACAAAAGCCCTGACCCCAAGGTCTTTCTGCTGGGGTCTCAGAATGAACAGGAAGACTTGGATCACAGAAAAGGGCCCAGGGGATCGATTATGAACCAATATCCAACAGACCGCCTACGCCCAAAGCCATTTTTTTAAACCTCTGTAAGGTTACTCCTCCAAAAAGTCATCTTTTCTCTGCTCTGCAAGGCGACTCAGCAGTGTGCTTCAGTTGGGGGCAGGGTAGGGGAAGAAGGACCCAAGCGAGGGATGGCAGCGTCCTTCAGCAGCACGTTCTGTTGAACCTATGGCTTTCTTTCTTTGCTGGATTGTGTTGTGTTTCATGTGAGTCTGGAAAAGGGAGATAGGGAATTTGGGATGCCTTGACTTTGTCATGGCCTGGGGAATTCTCGGAATGTCTTCTTCCTGATTTCTGGGTCTCTTGTTTGTGAACCCCTAGGGCCCCACCCCCGTGGTAGAAGGCTGGGATGAGAGGAGAAACGGTTGACAAGCATGCGTTGTGGGTAGTACGCCTGGAAAAGATGAGGTGGAAGAGGGAACAATATTAACTGAGCGCAGGCATGGGAGTACAGACTTGGACAGAGGAGACTGTTCCGTGTGGTTTCCAAGACTGAATCTTTACAGAGCAACCTCATCTTTCTCTCATGGAACTGCTGGTGTGTTTGAACCACTGACCTTGCTAGTTAGCAGCCCAGTGCTTAACCCACTGTATCACCAGGGCTCCTACAGAGGGGCCAGAGAACTGAATAGGAAGTTATAGCTCTCTTTCCCCTCTTTGAATTGTAAAATTCCCTAGGGTTAGACAGCACGCAGGCCCCTCTGAGCCTCCTGGAATGGGAATTGTGGCCTTGGATAGAGAGGAAAAGAGTAGAAGTGGGAGGTGTCTACAGACACAGAAGCCTCCAGCTCCTTATTTCCAGGTATTCGGCTGACATGGAAGGCCAAGACAGACACAAGCTAGTGAGAAAGCCGAGGGAGGATCATGGTCCCAGGAGCCCTCCCTCCAGCTGAGCCCCTCATCCCCAGGCAGCACCAGGAGCTTAGTGTTCGAGAGGGACAAAGGCTTCTTGTCAACAAGGCAAACTGAAGCAGAGTTCTAGGCAAGGGGGGGTGAGTGGGCACTGGGTAGGCAGAGGGTGTGGCAGATTAAGGGAGGAGGAAAGACGGTACTGGAGAAACAAAAAAACAAAACAAACTCACTGCCATCAAGTCGATGCCGACTCATAGCGACCCTATAGGACAGGGTCAAGCCGCCTTTCTGGGTGTCCAAGACTGTAACTCTTTACTAGAGAGAAAGCTACTGAGTGGCTGGTGGTTTTGAACCGCTGACCTTATGGTTAGCAGCCCCATATGTAACCACCGGGGTTCCTCAGTGTGGGAGAAGAGAGGTAGAAACTCCTGAAAGGGGAGGGCTAGAGGAGGTAACAGGGTCTAAGGAGAGCCAGCCTTCTCTTTCCCAGGCCTCATTTTTGGCTCTTGCCTTCTTTCCCTTCCTGTCCTACACGCTTCCCCCATTGTAGTCTACACCCATTCCCTTCGATACAAATTCCTGCATCTCTCCCTCAGGCCAAAGGACCCTCTGCCACCAGAGTGAGACCCTTGAAACCGTCATCCTGGTAAACCCCAGCGCAGACAGCATCAGCTCCGAGGTAAGGCTGGGGCCTAGGCTTAAGTGGGCATGCTGGAAGGACTGTAATTCACCCTTGTCAGCGCTGCTGCTGTGAGGGAAGAACGCCGGCACTTGGCTTAGAGCTGTCTCCTTTCTGCCATCTAAGCTACCTTACAATCCCCAACCCCATCCTGGGAGTGTTCAGGGAGACCCCAGTGAGGGGCATGTCTTTGTAGCTCTGAAGGGGTGCAGGTATGTTCATCTCCCTTCCTGGGTTTCCCCACCACTCTGATCACTCCCCTCCATCCGTTCTAGGTTCACCATCTCCTTCGTAGCCCATCTGCTCACAAACTTCTGATCTTGAGTGGGCAAAGTGTAGAGCCGGGGGGCGACCTCATCCTCCAGAGTGGCACCTACTCCTACCAAAACTTTGCCCAGGTCCTTCACAACCCAGAGGTACGTTCCATGGCCGTGTGAAGGGGACGTGGGCAGCTGGCACTGTGGGAAAGCTTGCCGGGAAGGGAACCTGTGTCTCACAGGGCTCTTGGAAGCCCTTCCAGAAAGATAGGAGCTCACCTCCACAAGCCCCAGTGACCTGATCAGGCTTCTATCTCCTATTCCTCCAGATTGCCCAATTGCTCAGCAATAGAGATCCCGCGATCCAGGCCTTCCTCACCGTGTCCTGCTTAGGGGAGGGTGATTGGCACCATCTGGGACTATCCAGTACCCAAGAGACCCTGCACCTCCAGCTAAACCCTGAGCCCACGCTGCCCACCATGGATGGTGTGGCTGAGTTCTCCGAGTACGTCTCCGAGACCGTAGATGTGCCATCCCCCTTTGACCTGCTAGAGCCCCCCACCTCAGGGGGCTTCCTCAAGCTCTCCAAACCTTGCTGCTACATCTTTCCCGGTGGCCGGGGGGACTCTGCCCTCTTTGCTGTCAATGGTTTCAACATCCTGGTGGATGGTGGCTCCGATCGCAAGTCCTGTTTCTGGAAGCTGGTGCGGCACCTGGACCGCATTGACTCCGTGCTGCTCACACACATCGGGGCGGACAACCTGCCAGGCATCAATGGGCTCCTGCAGCGCAAAGTGGCGGAGCTCGAGGAGGAACAGTCTCAGGGCTCCAGCAGCTACAGCGACTGGGTGAAGAACCTCATCTCTCCCGAGCTCGGAGTGGTCTTCTTCAACGTGCCCGATAAACTGCGGCTACCAGATGCTTCCCGGAAGGCCAAGCGTAGCATCGAAGAGGCCTGTCTGGCCCTGCAGCACCTAAATCGCCTGGGCATTCAGGCCGAGCCTCTGTACCGGGTGGTCAGCAACACCATCGAGCCCCTGACTCTCTTCCACAAAATGGGTGTCGGCCGGCTGGACATGTACGTCCTCAACCCTGTGAAGGACAGCAAGGAGATGCAGTTCCTCATGCAGAAGTGGGCAGGCAACAGCAAGGCCAAAACAGGCATTGTGCTGGCCAATGGGAAGGAGGCTGAGATCTCGGTGCCCTACCTGACTTCGATCACTGCTCTGGTGGTCTGGCTGCCAGCCAACCCCACTGAGAAGATTGTGCGTGTGCTTTTCCCAGGGAACGCACCTCAAAACAAGATCTTAGAGGGCCTAGAAAAACTGCGGCACCTGGACTTCCTGCGTTACCCTGTAGTCACCCAGAAGGACCTGGCTGCTGGGGCCGTGCCGGCCAGCCTCAAGCCCAGCAAAATTAAGCAGCGGGCCGACAGCAAGGAGAGCCTCAAAGCCACTACGAAGACAGCCGTGAGCAAGCTGGCAAAACGGGAGGAGGTGGCCGAAGAGGGAGCCAAGGAGGCCCGATCAGAGCTGGCCAAGGAGTTAGCGAAGACAGAGAAAAAGACGAAAGAGTCCATTGACAAGCCCCCCGAGAAGCCTGCCAAGCCAGAGAGGGTGAGGACAGAGTCCAGCGAGGCCCTGAAGGCAGAGAAGCGAAAGCTGATCAAGGACAAAGTGGGAAAGAAGCACCTGAAAGAAAAGATCTCAAAGCTGGAAGAGAAGAAGGACAAGGAGAAGAAAGAGATCAAGAAGGAGAGGAAGGAGTTCAAGAAGGACGAAGGCAGGAAGGAGGAGAAGAAGGATGCTAAGAAGGAGGAGAAGAGGAAGGACACCAAAGCTGAAGCCAAGAAGCTCTCCAAGCCAGACCTGAAACCCTTCACCCCCGAGGTACGGAAGACCTTGTACAAAGCCAAGGCCCCTGGAAGAGTCAAGACGGATAAGAACCGAACGGCCCGTGCAGAGAAGGAGCTTTCTTCCTCAGAGCCACGGGCACCCACAGCCCCAAAGGGTTCTGTCCCGCTGCCGCCAGTCACTGGGCAGAGGGAGCTAGCCTTATCATCCCCAGAGGACCTCACGCAGGACTTTGAGGACATGAAGCATCAGGAGAGGGGGCTGCTGGCTGAACAGAGGGACACAGGACCAGGAGAGAAGGCACTCCTTCCAAGTACCGACGACGAGGGACCCCCAAGCTCAGCCACCCAAAGGGCACTGCCCTCAGTCTCAGGCCCAGAACAGGAAGAGCCCGTGCTGGAGAACGAGGTGGTCCCAAATGTCCCTGGGGAACAAGGCGGCAAGGACCGAGGTCCAGACGCTGGGGCTGAGCTGGAAGAAAAGAACCATGCCTGGGAGGAAAAGCAGCAGAGGGAAGCAGAGGGGCTCCTAGCGGAGGCCAGGGAGGAAAGTGAGCCCGAGGTCAAGGAGGATGTGATAGAGAAGGCGGAGTTAGAAGAGATGGAGGAGGTGCACCCTTCCGATGGGGAGGAAGAGGAGGAGACACAGGCTGAGAGTTTCTACCAGAAGCATATGCAGGCAGCCTTGAAGGTAACTTCAAGGGGCAGAGAGCCTCTTGGAGGCCGGGAACTGGGAGTCCCCGGTAAGGTCCCTGAGAAGGAGGCCTCGTCCTTCCTGAGCAGCCTGGCCACGCCGGCAGGAGCCACCGAGCATGTCTCCTACATCCAGGACGAGACCATCCCCGGCTACTCGGAGACTGAGCAGACCATCTCAGACGAGGAGATCCACGAGGAGCCCGAGGAGCGCCCAGCCCCACCCCGATTTCCCCCAAGTCTGTATGACCTCCCAGGGCCCGAAGGTCCAGGCCCTTTTGAGGCCCGTCAGCCTGCGGACAGCGCTGCTCCAGCCGCCCCCAGCCAAGGCTATGGAGCACCGGAGTCAGAACTCCCCTACCCTCCCAACATGGTGGCTGCTCCACTGGCCGAAGAGGAGCACGTGTCCTCCGCCACCTCAATCACCGAATGTGACAAACTGTCTTCCTTCGCCACGTCCGTGGCCGAAGACCAGTCCGCTGCCTCTCTCACGGCACCGCAGACCGAGGAGACAGGCAAGAGCTCCCTGCTGCTCGACACAGTCACAAGCATCCCTTCTTCCCGCACCGAAGCCACCCAGGGCTTAGACTACGTGCCGTCAGCTGGCACCATCTCGCCTACCTCCTCCCTGGAAGAAGACAAGGGCTTTAAGTCACCACCTTGTGAGGACTTCTCTGTGGCCGGGGAGTCAGAGAGGAAAGGAGAAACAGGGAGAAGCTTGCCTGGAGGGAGAGTCTTGAGAGGGGCAGAGGAGCGAGCAGATGGCAGGTTGTCTGAGACACTGCAGAGTCAATATGGACCCTCAACATTGGGTGGCCCCGGGCAGGCCTTACTCCCCGGGGAAGCCTTCGGCGAGGCGGAGGAGCGCTGCCTCAGCCCGGATGACAGCACGGTCAAGATGGCCTCTCCTCCCCCGTCAGGCCCACCCAGCGCCACTCACACCCCCTTCCATCAGTCTCCAGTGGAAGAAAAGTCTGAGCCCCAAGACTTTGAGGAAGCCGGCTCCTGGGCAGATACGCGGCGAACCCCGGGAGTGGGCGAGGAAGAGGCTCCAGGGCAGACAGCCAGGCCCACACCTGAAGAGGATGCACTCAAGGAGAAGGAGGAGGAGAAGGAGAAGGAGGAGGAGGAGTCTCCGCCCAGGAGTCCCCAGGCCCAAGAAGCATCTATCAGCATCGTTGAGGGGCACACAGGCTGTACCATCCAGCTGTTGCCAGAACAGGACAAAGCAATCGTTTTTGAGACGGTGGAGGCAGGGGAGTCCACAGGACTCATTCTGGGAGAAGCATCCCCTTCCAGAGACGTGAGGATGTCCCTCCAAGAACCCAGAGAGCCTCCAAAAGTCGAAGGGCTCCAATTTTCCGACCGAGACCTCTCCCCCGAAGATGCAGACTCCCTCTCTGTCCTCAGCGTGGTCTCCCCAGACACTGTCAACCAAGAGCCCAGCCCTAGGTCTGCCTGTGGCCCAACAGAGCAGCCCCTACACAAAGACCTCTGGCCAGAGAGGTCCCCAGAAGACACCCGGTCACTTTCCCTTTCTGAAGAGAGCCCCAGCAAGGAGACTTCTCTGGATATCTCTTCGAAGCAGATCTCTCCAGAAAGCCTCTGCACTCTCCAGTTTGGGGAATTAAGCCTTGGAAAGGAAGACAGGGAACCTCTAATCCCAAGTGAGGACACCTCTCATCAACTAGCCCCAGAGTTTGGTCAACAGCCCCATCCAGCCACAGTGGCACTTCCTACAGATAGGATCCCTAGGGATTCTTCACAGCCAGATGACACGGATGAGGGCCGTGGCCGGAAACCACCTGCTGGCTCCTCCTCTCGCTCTGCACTCTCAGGAGATGAGAAGCAGTCCTCCGGAGTGACTACAAGCCCTGGCGAACACATTCTGACACCTGATAGCTCTCTCACCCAGAGTCTCGAGTCTCTGCCAAGTCCTATCACCGAAGGCATTGCTATGGAAGGGGAAGATAAAGTCCCAGGGTCACAAGACCAAAGAACCCCAGAGCAGGAGGACAAAGTGTGTAAACCAACAGCCGCAGCTCCACAACAGCAGGACAAAATCCTGGAGCAGAAGGATATTCATGTAGAAAAGAAGGATCTGGCCATCAGTCAGAAAAACGAGACTCGGGAAGAACAGGATAAGACATCAGACCAAAGAGACAGAGACCTAGAGCAAACCAACCAGGCTCCGGGTCAGACAGAGAAGACTCTGGAACCCAAAGACACAGACTTAAAACAAAGAGACTCGGAGCAAAAAGACGCCACCCTGAGACAGAAGGATGAAGCTCTGGGACCAAAAGATACAGACTTAAGACAAAAAGACGAGGTCCTAGAACCGAAGGGCAAGACGTTGGAAAAGAAAGAGGTAGACTTGGAACAAAAAGAAGACAAGGTCCTAGAACCGAAAGACAAGGTCCTGGAAGAGAAAGGCCAAAAGCCAGAGCAAAACGGCAGAGACTCTGAACATAAAGTTAAAGCTTCAGAAGATGAGATCCCAGAGCCAAAGGGCCAGGCCTTTGAGCAGACAGAGGGGGCTCAGCAGCAAAATGACCAAGACTTAAAGGAAACATATTGGGCCTTAGAACAGAAGGATGAAGCCCTGGGACAAAGCAGTAAGGACACTGAACAGAAAGACAAGGCTCTGGTAGAAAAGGACGATATCCGGGGACAGGTGAGCCCAATGCAGGACCATACAGCCAGCAAACCAGAGGAAACAACCCTACCGGGGAAACTCCCAGAAAAGGTTCAGACCGTAGAACAGGAGGGCCTGAAAGAGATCCCAGTGCAAAAGAGCCTGGCTGGAGAGCAAGAGGAGAAATACCTGCAGAAGGAGGAGGCTGTGGTCCTGGAGTGGCGGGAAACAGCTCTGAGCAGGGGCGAGCCGGTGGGAGAACAGAAAGGGCCTGCCCAGGCATGGGAGGCCGCATCTCCTGAGCAGGAGGACACGTACTGGAGGGGCAGAGAGGCCGTGCGCCAGGAAGAGGACACGTATTGGGGGGAGCTGAGCTGTGAAAGGAAAGTCTGGTTCCCTCATGAGCTGGATGGCCAGGGGGCCTGCCCCCGCTACCCCGAGGAGCGGGAGAGCACTTTTCTGGATGAGGGGCCAGATGATGAGCAAGAGGTACCCCCGCTGGAGCACACACCCCGCAGCCCTTGGGCCTCGGACTTCAAGGGCTTCCAGGAGTCCTCGTCACAGAAGGGGCTGGAGGTGGAGCGCTGGCTTGCTGAATCCCCAGTCGGACTGCCACCAGAAGACGACGACAAGCTGACCCACTCCCCCTTTGAGATCATCTCCCCGCCGTCTTCTCCACCCGAGATGGGTGGACCCAGGGCTCCTCCAGCCCCAGGACAAGAAAGCCCAAGCCCAGAGTCTAAGCCCATGCCACCCACGAGGAAAGAGCCCACCACTCCCTCCTGGCTGGCTGACATCCCACCATGGGTGCCCAAGGACACACCCTTGCCCCCTGCACCTCTCTCCCCAGCTCCAGCTCCCCCCAGCCCTGCCCCAGAGCCACTCACTCCCGCCCCCTTCTCCTGGGGCACAGCAGAGTATGACAGTGTGGTGGCCGCTGTGCAGGAGGGGGCAGCTGAGTTGGAAGGTGGACCATACTCTCCCCTGGGGAAGGACTACCGAAAGGCTGAAGGGGAAACGGAAGAAGAGGGTGGGGCTGGGGCTCGTGACAGCATCCCTTGCAGCTCAAAGATCCCAGAGGCTGTCAAGAGCCATGCCACCAAGGAGCCTGAGCCGACTGAGCAGGAGCAGAGGGAGCCCACGCCCTACCCTGATGAGAGAAGCTTTCAGTACACAGATATCTACGAGCAAATGATGCTGACCGGGCTTGGCCCGGCGTGTCCCACTAGGGAGCCTCCGCTCGGAGCAGCCGGGGATTGGCCCCCACACATGTCAACCAAGGAGGAGGCTGCTGGCCGAAACACATCTGCCGAGAAGGAGCTTTCTTCTCCGGTCTCGCCTAAGAGCCTCCAAGCTGATGCTCCAGCCTTCAGCTATGCAGCCCTGGCTGGACCCCCTGTGCCCCCCAGACAGGAGCTTGAACCAGGGTCGAGTGTGGAGCCCAGTCCCACACCGCCTGCAGTGCCCCCCCGCGCTCCTGTCAGCCCCTCTTTTCGAGATGACATCCTGAGCTGCTACCCAGATGGGAGGCCCCTGCCCGCCAAGGACACAGCCCGGAGTCCCTGGGATGACAGCACTAGTGACTCTGAGCTGGAGAAGGGGGCTCGGGAGCAGCCAGAGAAAGAGGCCCAGTCTCCAAGTCCCCCCCATCCTATCCCTGCAGGGCCCTCCACTTTGTGGTCTACCAGTCCTTCCTCAGGCTCACCCCCAGGTCCTGCCCGGCCTTGCCTGGACTTCCCTGCCTCAGCCTTTGGCTTCTCCTCCTTACAGCCAGCTCCCCCACAGCTGCCCTCTCCAGCAGAACCCCGCTCTGCCCCCTGTGGCTCCCTTGCCTTCTCGGGGGACCGAGCTCTGGCTCTGGCTCCAGGGCCCCCCACCAGAGCCCGACATGATGAATACCTAGAAGTAAGCAAGGCCCCCAGCCTGGACTCCTCACTGCCCCAGCTGCCCTCACCCAGCTCTCCTGGGGCCCCCCTCCTCTCCAGCCTGCCCCGCACCGCCTCACCAGCCCTGTCTGAAGGCTCGTCCTCTGAGGCCACCACGCCTGTGATGTCCAGTGTGGCCGAGCGCTTCCCTCCAGGCTCTGGTCCACAGGCAATGGAGCAGGGGTCTGAAGAGCTAGTGTCAGGTACAGAGCCTGCTGCTCCCAGTCTCTGGAACCTCACTCCTCTGAGCCCAGCAGCCCCAGCTACACTGGACTCGGCCCCAGCTCCAGCTCCACGCCTGCCTGGAGACATGGCTGATGGCACCTCACCCTGCCACCTGGAGTGCCCGGCGGGAGACACCAGGAGGCCAAGCCCCTTCCAGGGTCCCTCTGGGGATTGTGCAGCCAATGGCCCAAGTGGAACCAGCGCCAAACCTTCAGGGCCTGGCCTGGCCGGGACCGAGAAGGAGGCGGCTGGGGCTTGCCCTGCTTGGGAACGTGGGGCCTGGCCTGAAGGAGCCGAGAGGGGCATCAGGCCCTGCACGCTGCTGTCCTCTGAGCAGCCACTGTGTCCCAGAGGGGTCCCTGAAGACCGCCTCAGCAGTGTGTCCCCTGAGCCTGAGGCTGGGCCCCAGGGATGTGCTATTGAGCCCCGACCCCACCGAGGAGAGCTCTCCCCATCCTTCCTGAACCCCCCGCTGCCTCAATCCACAGATGACGGTGACCACTCAACTGAGGAAGCCAGGCTGGTAGGAAGAGTGGGGAGACGCCGGGCGGGGGGCCCAGGGACCACAGGGGGTCCATGCCCTGTGGCCGATGAGACCCCCCCAACATCAGCCAGTGACTCAGGCTCCTCACAGTCCGATTCTGACGTTCCTCCAGAAACAGAGGAGTGTCCATCCATCACAGCTGAGGCAGCCCTTGACTCAGATGAAGACGGGGACTTCCTGCCTGTGGACAAAGCTGGGGGGGTCAGTGGATCCCACCATCCCCGGCCTGGCCATGACCCACCCCCTATACCTCAGCCAGACCCCCGCCCACCCCCTCCTCGCCCTGACGTGTGCATGGCTGACCCCGAGGGGCTCAGCTCAGAGTCTGGGAGGGTGGAGAGGCTACGAGAGAAGGAGAAGGCTCAGGGGCGAGTGGGGCGCAAGGCCCCTGGCAGGGCCAAGCCAGCGTCCCCAGCACGGCGCCTGGATCTACGGGGGAAACGTTCACCCACCCCTGGTAAAGGGCCTGCGGACCGAGCATCCCGGACCCCACTCCGACCACGGAGCACCCCAAGCCAGGTGGCCCCCGGAGAGGACAAGGATGGCCACAGTCCCATGTCCAAAGGCCTAGTCCATGGACTCAAGGCAGGAGCTGGTAAGTCATGGATGGAAAGCGGAGGAGTGGGTGGGCTGGCAGGGACTGGGTGTGGCAGCTCAGAGGCCAGGAGTCGGGGAAGGGGAAGGTTGCCACAAGTGTTCTCCCTTCCCTCTACAATGAGTGCTGGCTTGTCTCTACAGCAGCCTTGGGATCCAAGGGTGGCTCTGGTGCCCCTGTGTATGTGGATCTCGCCTATATCCCGAATCATTGCAGTGGCAAGACTGCTGACCTTGACTTCTTCCGACGAGTTCGTGCATCCTACTATGTGGTCAGTGGGAATGACCCTGCCAATGGCGAGCCAAGCCGGGCTGTACTGGATGCCCTGCTGGAGGGCAAAGCCCAGTGGGGGGAGAATCTTCAGGTGAGTTTCAAGGGACCACAAAGGTGGTAATCTGGACAAACCTTGCTCAGAGGCAACAGGGGAACACATTCCCGAGGACTGGACCCTTCCCACGGGCAACAGTGTCTGGGGAGACCGTCAGGTGCCCCACCTCCCTCACTCCCCATTCTCACTTTAGGCTTGTCTTATCTCCCTCCTAGGTGACTCTGATCCCTACTCATGACACAGAGGTGACTCGTGAGTGGTACCAGCAGACTCATGAGCAACAGCAACAACTCAACGTCCTGGTCCTGGCTAGCAGCAGCACGGTGGTCATGCAGGATGAGTCCTTCCCCGCCTGCAAGATCGAGTTCTGAAAGAACCACACTCCCTTCCCCAAGGATCCCTCACCCTACCCCAACTCCCTTCGAGAATGGCTACTGCTGAGGCCTTTGGGGTTGGAGGAACTGAGAGCCGGCTGTGGTGGAGGGCGGGAGGATGCCTTGTTGTGAACACTTGGGCTGGGCCACATGGGAGGAATTCTCTCTCCCCCTGGGAGGGGTCTTAGAACCAAAGGTAACAGGACTAGGATGGGAGGAGGGCACAAAATGAGGATAGACAGCCATCTGATGCCTGAGAACACCTGGTCCCAGCACTGCCACATGCTGGAATTGGGTGGAGAGGGAGGATGGGCCGCAGAAAGCAACCTCCTCCCCAGTGGAGGGTGATCATATCCCCAACTCCAGGGACCTTTTAGTCTCTATTTATTGAGCATCCTACGAAGGATTTCTAGTAGTAATTTATGTGGCCTGGGATAGGACACTGTCCGTGAGGTGCCCAGAGCTGCACCCCTTCCTCCATCTCCCAGGCCCTCACCCACCAGGGGCGTGGTTCCAGCCGAAGGCTAGTGGTACACAGCTGCTACACTGTCCCACTGCTCCCTCCATCGCTGAATGTCTCCATCCCAAACTTGAAACTCTTTTGACCAACAAACTGGTAGGAGGAGAATGGAACTTACCCTCTATCCCAGCCCTATTTCACACCATTCACCTCCCCAGGGGTGTGTCCAGACCAGGCCTATGGGCAGCAGATAGGGGCAAGGAGAGCCCAGCCCCAATCCCAGAATGGTTCTAAACTCCCTGACCCCTTGAAGTTGTTACCCACCCCATTCCCATTATTCTGACCCCTTCTCATCCATCCCCTGCTTGGCTTCTCTGCATGTGGTCATCTGCTGTGGCCCAGTGTGTGATGGATTAAAAATAAGCCACTGCCTGACATCCCAACATTTGACACCCCAGCAATGTGTGACTCCCCAACATTCCACTGTTGCCATCCTGCAGCTGAAGTGGGAACACTGGCTGCCTCTCCCACCCCCAAACTCTTAGAAAGAGGATCTGGGATGTGGAGGCCATGCCAGAGGACTTGGGAAAAATGAGAGGGAGGAAAGAAAAGAGGAAGGTGAAGCTGAGCTAAAGCTTAGTGCCTATAGAGTAAAATAAAAACAGGCTGAGCACACCACCCCATGGAAGACTTGGTCTCCAGCAAGCCAGTGAGCAGCCCTAGCCTACTGCTGCCAACCGAGAAACCCAGGCGCTGACAGTCATCTGGGCTTGGCTTCTCTGCCAAATTGTGTGGATACCAAAATGAGTCCGCCTTGTTTTCTTCCCAGCTCCCACCCTCCCCGTGCTGCTGTGCTCTGCTCCTTCCCACACTTCCCCGCAATATTCCCAGCTGTAACGGAGCCACCTCCAACTCTTACCAATAAACCAAGTTCATTGCAAATGCCGTAGTGCTGGTTAGGCTTTTTCTGACTCCAGACATTGTTTAGTTGCTGGGCTTCGCTTCTACCTCTCTGCTTCTCCCAGCATTGTCGTTTATCTAGGAGGACTTTGATGCCTTTGATAACTGGAAGCAGTTCCAAGACCCAGTACTATCAGAGCACATAGGATATGTGAAGGGAGAACAAGTTATGGGGAATCAACATGATCTCTGAAAATGAATGGGAATTTGTGAGGGTGGAATGGAGAATAGGAGCCTAGGATGGGGACATCTGTTTATTTTGGAGAGGGAAGAGACAAGAGGCCTGGGGAGGGAGATCTGCATCCCATGGAGTCAAAAGCTGAGGAACAAAGAACCAGGATCAAGTGCTCTGGATAGGAGAGCACCAAAGAGCTAAGGAGTTGAGGGGCCCCCTGAGGTCCAGAAAACTCATAGAGTCAGTTCTGACCCAAGCAACCCCACAGGACAGAGTAGAACTGCCCCTTTCGGTTTCCGAGACTTTAAATCTTTGAGAGCTGACCGTCATCATTTTTCTGAGGAGCGGCTGGTGGGTTTGAACCACTGACCTTGTAGTTAGCAGATCAATGCACAGCCTACTATGTGACCAGTGCTCTGTAAGGAGCCCACATGGGGCAGCCCTATAAGGTCACTAAAAGTCAGAATTGACTCAATGGCAACAGGTTGGGTTTGTATTTTTAAAAGCGATCCAGAGCCTATTAAGTTTGGAAGTCCTATAACTTAACTGTGCAGTAAGGTTTTCCATAGAGTGGAGACTTGCATTTTTCCCCTCCAATGAAACCATTCGTCCTCCTATATATGTCAGGAGTGGCTAGGTTGTAGATATATACATATGGGGTGGGAGTGGGGTGATATTCTAGCCCTCCCCATGTTCTGGGATCTCCCAACATAAAGATGTCAAGGAGATGCAGGGAGGGAGAGTACAATCCCTAAAAGCATCAGAGTTAAAAATTTCTGGTAAGGTGGGGGGGCGAGAAAATCACCCTCCCCACCCCAACACTCATTAAAGACCTTTTTGGATGGTTGGCTGACTACCATATGGATCTTCCTGGGACGCCTGATCTCTCTATTTTTATAGCCCATCTTGGTCGGCTACATTGGCTTTCAACTGGTTCAGAGAAATCCAGTTGCAAATGGACACGATAGATCCACACATATATTCAGCATGACATTCACAAAGGCATCATCACTAAAATGTAGCCTCCCCCATCACCTAATTTACAGTAAAAAATAAAGTTATGTTAAAAAGATCTCATCACCACTACTACTATCATTCTCATTATTTTAATTTATTGAGCACTCATCAAGTCCCCTCGCCCCCCACTCAATGTCTGAATTACCTCGCCTACACACCCCTATTTCCATCCTCAGATCTTTGGGTAAAGCTTCATAATCACGCCTGGCCCTAAAAGCACAATGATAAAAGGATAAATATCTTGGGAGTGTTTGGTCTTTGGCCAGTCTGCCCCTGGCACCCCTACAGAAATATGTGTGTGTGTGTGTGTGTGTATATATATATTAAATCTTTGCATATGTCTGTACAATATTGATCTCTGCTGATTGCTTAAAATAGAACCTGATTCTCTACTACAGCATTGCCTAAGTCAAACAGCCCCACAACAGAGGAAGACTCAGCTTGACAGATTGGCCAAGAACCCCCTACAACATTTTAAGTAGTTATTCTGAAATTGGTACAGCAATCTACTACCCATTTCTCCCAAGAGCTGTTGCTCACAGGAATTGTCCTGGGGCAGAGGGGCCCTCAGCGATGACGTGGGACGCCCACAAGCCCAGTCTAGAGATCATGGCCGTGATGGAGGTTTGTTTGGGAAGGGGGACTCCTTTTTCCCAGACATTTCAGATGACCATCCAGGACCCACCTGAGGAGCAAAGGCAAGAGTTCCCCTGAATGCACATATGGTCTATGGGTAGCTTGAAAACTTGTGACGATTTCTCCAGAAAAATATCGTGTCTTCAGCAGTTAAGTGGCATTTTCTTTAACGATTTGGGAGGTTGGAGAATGATAAACCAGCCTGCACCAAGGAAATTCCTTTCCAGTCTGATGGCTAGGTAGGGAACCAATGACTGTTTTGAACATAAAACTGGCTCTTCCCAAACCCGGCTCTGACACAGGTATGCTTCATACCAAGAGGAAGGACTGTTTCCTCCGGTACATCTGGTGAGAGCCAAGGCCGGCTGGCAAGGGAGTTAGCCAACAGAAAAGTTGGCTCAAATGGCTGGTATAGTGTGACACCACTAATGAGACCGGGATTAATCACATGTTGCTGGTGGGAAGGGTGAGTGCTGGTCATGGTCTTGAGACTGGCGCTGAGGGTTTGAAGCACTGGAGGGATACTGGGCTTGTGAAACATCCTCACCAGGAAGTTGATCAGTCACTGCAGAAACCACCCAGGACTGCTGATGAGCCTCCTCAGGGAACTCCAGGGCCTGCACATCCTCTCCACGGCACTCTGGAGATAACTTATCAACCTCAGGGATGTCCTGAGACAACAGATTGATTGCAGAATACTCCTGAGCCAGCCTGCCAACCTCTACAGAGAGCCCCTGGCATGGCTGGATGACCTCCTCAGGGACCACTTGGGCTGGTCTACAGACCAGACCACCAATTTCCACTGGATCTTCCTGGCATGGCTGGTTGATCTCTTGAGAGTTCTCTTGGCAAAGCTGACAGATGTCCTCAGAGACTTGGCTGGTCTTCTGGCGAGGCAGAGTGCTTTCAGGGATCTCATGGCATGGCTGGTTAACATTGTCATGGGCCTCCGGGCATGGCTGGCTGATCTGAGGGATTTCCCAGCACAGCTGGCTAATATCAGGAACTTCCTGGCTTGGTTGGCTTATTTCAGGGTTCTCCTGGCATGGCTGACTGACCTCCTCAGGGACATCCTGACATGGATGGCTGATCTCTACAGGGGGTTCCTGTGGGGACTGATTTGGTTCAAAAGTTTCTTTCTCCCCTTCTATTGGCTCTTGTGCTCCATTCCCAGTAGTCTTCTGGGGCTGCCCAAGGCTTTGACGTTCTTCAGTCACCCGTGAACTTAGGGAGGATTGATCGCTGAAGCCAAAATGGGCGTTTCCATCCACTGCAGTGGGAGAAGAAGGACCAGCACTGGACACAGTGCTGGACGGGCCACTGCTGTCTGTAAAGCAAAGCCAGAAGACTGAGTCACACCAGCTGAAAATGTAGACTCCACCTTACACATGTAGTTCAGATATTAGAATGGGTGGCTTTTGCTACTCATGTCTTGGGAAAATAGGGTCTGAATGTCTCCTACGTTAGGCAGAGACTCTGATCAAGTCAGGAATCGTCACAAAGTACACAAGGGCACTTCAGGAGGGAATGCTGGGGCCCACCTCATCTTGTTCTTTTAAGTGTCTCCACCTCAACTCCAAATGTTCCTGGTTCTTCACTCCTACTTTGGAAGCATATGAACATTTTAGCCCAATGGCTCATATAAAAATTTTACCTAAGAAGTTTTGTATTTTGCTTTTCAAATATAGATTTCCAGGTTCCTCTTCAAAGATTATAATTCTTAAGGTTTAGGATAACGATTGTGGGGAAGGGGACAGGGACGGGCAGGGGTGGAACTACACAATTTCATTTTGTTTAAAATACGTTTAATTAATTCTGATAACTTTTGTCAAGAATGCCTTTTTTTAAACTGCCAGTGCTTTGTGAAGTGGTCTTGTTGCTTACTATAACAAGCAATAAAATCCATGTTATCAAAAAAAGAAAAGAAAATTGAATTGTTTTATGTGATCAAAGGACGGCTGTGCACTATTCCCATGGGGAAGCGGGTCATGCATCTATGGGGCAGGGTAATTACTATTTGTAGCCCAAGAGATAAGCCGTACAGAAAAACCTTATAGGGAAGAGAAATAGGAAAGAAATTTATTTTTTCAAAGCTAGGGTCTCCAAATAGTAGCAGTTTTTAATGAACCTTCCAGGGGTTCGCAGACCCACTTAAAGCTCTCATGAAGTTACAGACCATCTTCCCTGGAAAATGTACATATATATTATTCACTAATTTTTACATATAGTTCCTGGAGCTCACAGACTACCCTTAAACCTATACATGGATCCAAGGTTAAGATCCTCAGTGTTACAGGCTTGTGCACACAGAAAATATCCAACTAATTTCCTAGATCCAGACAGTAGTATAATGAAGACTTCAGAGTTTTTAATTATCTTGTGTAGTGATTCCTATCCCACCCTCCATTTCTTCATTAACCTTTAATGGGAGACTAACCCACTTTTCCCTTTGTTAAGACTGTATTCACTGATGTTACTGTAATGTTTAATTCCTTCTGCTATCAATAACGACAGCTTCTATAACTCATGAATATCAACATCCTATCATCAAAGAGTACCTACGAGAGCTGGCAAGCCTGGGCCTCGAAGAGCTGGATCCGTCGTGATGTTTAAGGGGAGCCAGCTCTTCTCCTTTGTGGGGGCTCAGGAGGCAGGCTTCCGGCAGAAAAACAGAGGTACATGATTTTTGGCTAACAAGGCTTTACGTCATATGGAGCCTATTTCTGTGCAGATAGACCCCAAAGAAGATAATTACCAATGAGGGCGCATGCCTGATCGTAAGTCAAATGTCTGATACTAGATTAAAAAAATAAGGCTGTAACCTGAGCTTCAACCAATTCAGCTCATGATTTGATTCAGGCAAATAAAAAAGATCAGACAAAAATAGAAGGATAAGCTTCTGGGGCACAAAATACTAAATACTAAAGAAGAGAGGTAAAGAGGGCAACAATAGGAAGGTGAGTATAGGATAATCTAGGTGTCAGGGAGGAAAGTTCCTTTTTCTTCAGTGTGCCAGAAAACGGACAAGATTCTACAGCTGCTAACCTCATGTAGAAAACATGACTCTTCTATGGGATGTTCTGACATCTGTAACAGCTCCCAGTAAGATGATTAATTAAAACTTAAAAAACAAAACCATGACTCTTTGTTTCAGTCCTAAAACAAGTAAACTAATGGAAGCCATGTTTGATTTCAGTTAGTCCCTCAAGGTAAAGTAAACAAGGAAGAAAATTCCCACCATCAGTGTCTCAGTTCTGATTACCACTGGTATCTCTGCTTCCTTACAACCATACTAAGAAGCCCTGGTGGGTGCATTGTTCACACTATTACCAAGAATCGTTAGAGATAGTATTGGCGAGATGGGAAAGAGCATTGTCAGCTTGAATTATAACTGATACTAGACAACTAGAGAGAAGGCACCTGCAGATAATAGAAGAGATTCTAGTTTCCTACTCCCCGCTTTTCCACTTCTCTACTTTGCCTCCCTAGTCATCTTTTCTGAAGAAAGCTATAGAGATCATTTCCACCTTTTGTACCCAAAGGGACTCCTAGGTCACTCTTTGAGCTTCTCCAGTGAGACAGAAGGCAGCAAATGAGACTGCTTCTCTGCCTAGATACTCCTGGGCTCTCAATGCTCATCTTCCTGCCCATCATCCCACAGGGCCTCCATTCACCAAACCCTCACCCCCTCTTGCCCTTTGGTTAGGCAGTGTAAAAGAATTACTTACACCATGGGGGCTTCTCAGAACGCTGCCGCAGTTGCAGGGGAGGTGAATGGAGAGTACGGGGTTGGGGATATGGACTGTTTGAGGACTGATTGCTGTGCATCGAGTGAAAGAGGGCTGGGTGGATAGGAGAGAAAGGGAAGAAAAAAATATATATAAGGAAGTGTCCAAGAGCCATAAATTCTCAGCAAACATCAAAATCAACGTATATATCCTCAGATTGAAAAGTAACCTTTCTTAGAGATTTTTCACCCTAACCACTTTCAGTTTGGGGGTTTTTTTTAAATCATTTTATTGGGGCTCATACAATTCATCACAAGCCATACATCCAACCATTGTGTAAAGCACACTTATACATTTGTTGCCCTCATCATTCTCAAAATTCACTTTCCTCTTGGGTTCCTGGGCCACTTTCAGTTTTTTTAAGTTTTACATTATAAAGATTTTCAAATATACTTTTTACAGTAGTTGAAAGACTAGGACAGGGAGGGGGGAGCGGGGAGGGAGGGGAAAAATGAGGACCTAATGCCGGGGATTTAAGTGGAGAGCAAATGTTTTGAGAATGATGAGGGCAATGAATGTACAAATGCACTTTATACAATTGATGTGTGTATGGATTGTGAGAAGAGTTGTATGAGCCCCTAATAAAATGATTTAAAAAAAAAAAAAAGAAAGACTAGGACAACGATATGCTCATCTCCTAGAGCTACCATGACATTATTAAATATCTTACCTATAACTACTTCAATGTGCATCTCTAAAACATAAAAAAAATTTCCATGCACTGCTAACATACTTACCAAAATTAATAATCCTTTCACATCATTGACTACCTAGTCTATATTCAAATTTTTCTAGTTATTCCTAAAATGTCTTTTATAACAAGATTCAAACATGAACCATACATTGCATTTTGTCAGAGTAAAGTGCTGGTGAAAAATCTTTTCTAATCACAGCAGATGGGTTTTACTGTATTTTATATTCACTTCCTTTTATGTAAGATTATAGGCTCATGGATTTCACTTCAAATAATTATAGCAATTATTCTTTTTAATACTCAAGTTATTCCCATTGCAGCCAGGAGGAGCCCCCTTAGCTTCATTGCCTAATTCCTTTCTGCTACGATGCTCCAGGACCAGGTTCTTGTGCTTTCCTTGTCCCAGACCACACATCCTCAACTTAATTGGTCCTTGGTTGAAGTGAAAAAAACAAAAAACTTAGATATTACAAAAGTCTATGGCCATATAAAAGGTCACAGTACATACACAGGCCTCTCAAGTATATAACAAAAATGGTGTTAAATTTTCCATGGGGTTGAGTGATTAAGGAAAACACATCTAAAAAGGCTCCCTGTGGAGAATTTTCTTTAATTAAAAGAAAAGAAAAGATAAGGGGTCCAAACTTACTGTCCGTAAGCAAGCACTAGTCATTTTCACAGGGAGCCCTCATGCTTTCTAGTGGAAAATGTTATGTAGAGACCAAAATCTAGGAGCTAAAGGTGCTCATCACTATAGTTCCTGCCGCAGAGTTTTATAAACTAAGTTCATATTGATATTGCCACATCCTCACTGGCTCAATATTGTCTAGGGGGTTTTGTGTTTATTCTAAATTATCACAGTCACACTGTTGCTGTTTGGGTCCAGATCATTAGCAAACCTACACAACAGAATGAAACATTGCCTGGTCCTGCGCCATCCTCCTAGTGGGAACAAAACGGTATTGCATTGTGGTTTTGGTTTGCATTTCCTGATGATTAATGATGCTGAGCATCTTTTCTTTCTTTCTCTTTTTTTTTTTTTTGAGCATGTTTTCATGTGCTGGCTGGTCAATCTGTGTATCCTCTTTGGAGAAAGATCTATTCAAGTTCTTTGCATATTCTTAAATTGGATGCTGAGTTATAAAACTTATGTACTCTAGATTTTATAATCCTATCAGTAGTATATGAGAATTCTAATCTCTCTACACTCTCACCAGCATTTTCTCATTTTGATCTTATTGAACTTTGCTATTATTGCTGGGTCTGCATCCTTTCAAAGAACAAATACACTATTAACAAAAAATAAACCCAGGACTTCCAGCAATGATGGCAGCCTAGACAAACAGGCTGCACCAATCCTTTGCAATAAAGATGTGATAAAAACAGATAGGAAGAAAAAACCTGAAGCCCTGAATCTCTTGCTTGAGAATGTTCTTTTATGCATAAAGGTTTTTAATCTTGATGAAGCCCATTTATATGTTTTTTAATTTTGGTGCTTATGCTTTTGGTTCTTATCCTATCTAAGAACCCATTCACAAATCCAAGATGACAAAAATTTACTCTTTTGTTTTCTTCTAAGAGTTTTATAGCATTAACTCCCATATTTACGTCCTTTGAATACATTTAAGACAGTTGCTTTAGAATCGTGGTCTTATAAGTCCAATGTCAATGCTTTCTCATAGACATTTTTTTTGTTCTAAATGGTACGGTATTGGGTCAAACAAAACAAGAGTTTTGTGTCCATCCTTTAGGTTTATAACAGACTGTTTACAACAGGTCAGCACAATTATGTGAGGATAAGTTCTGCTCTGCTTCTCTGAAAGCAAGACCCAGGGTCTGACCTTGCCAAAGCAAGCTGCCACCTACAAGACCACTGGCAAGTTGGGGAGTGGGGAAAGAGCCTAGTCAATAAAAATGGTGCAACAAATAAATAAATAAAAATAAAATGGTGCAAAGCTTTCCTACCGTTTTTAAATTGTCTTTTTCTTGATTCAGCCTTTGCTTCTTTGCTATAAACCTCTGACTATTTTTCAGAGTTCTGACAAAGTTGATTTTACCAGTTTTGACTTGCTCTGTGTGTGTGTGTGTGTGTGTGTGTGTGTGTGTGTGTGTGTGTGTGTGTGTGTGTGTTCCTCTGAAAGAGCAGGCCAAAGAGCTACTATTCCAGTATTTTCATTACATGGTTTAATTTTTATATTTAGATTTCTGACTCCTATGGAGTTTAGACTCAGTTTTTATTTTAGTTCAATGGCTATTTAGTTCCCAAACTCTATTAAAAAGTTGTTCTTTTCCCCAATATTTTGAAATAGTAACTTCATTAGGAGTTCTGGGTGTTGCAGAGTTAAGTGTTCAACTTCTGCCTGAAAGATGGGTGGTTCAAACCTACCCAAAGGTGCTTTAAACCTTGAACGAATGGCCTGACAACCAACTTCTGAAAGGCAGCACTCCTGAAAGCCTGCAGAGAACCGCTCTACTCTCCTACACGTGGGGTAACCGGAAGCTCTAGATTTTCTGTTTTGTTTCATTGGTCTCCCTGTCTAATCATGTACCAACACAGTACTGTTTTAATTATAGAAGTCAGTTGGATTTTTTAAAAAACATTCTATTACAAGCTAATCCAGACATCATACCATTCCATTGTCCAACCTAATTATACAAGGTGTTTTTTTTATTTAATCAATTTATTGGGGCTCATAAAATTCATCACAATACATAGATCAATTGTGTAGAGCACATCTATACATTTGTTGCCCTCATCATTCCCAAAATTCGCTTGCCTCTTGGGTTCCCGGAATCAGCTCATTTTCCTTTTTTCCCTCCTCCCCCTCCCTTCCTCTGCCCCCCTCCTAATTATACAAGTTTTATAGCATGTTTAATATATGTTAGCAATAGGACCCACCCCTTGATTGTCTTGTGGGATTCTTTTTTTTTTTTTTGTCTTGTAGGAATTTTCCTGGCTACTTTTACTTGTTTATCGTTTATGAAACCTTCAGAATTGATTTGTCTTACTTAAGAAAAACAACAGTATTTTTACAGGTATCACATTAAATTTATAAATTAACTTACAGAGGAGTAATATTTCTATGATGTTGACTTACTTGGTCTATGCAATTAAACTTTTTCCCCCCAAGTCTACTTTTGTATCTTTTAGGAGCATTTATCTTTAATTATAAATTTCTCATGTTCTAGGAACATGGGAATGAGGGTAGAAGTGGGAGTGCAAAATGAGAGTATTCTTCATACCTGCAGATGCCTGGGCCTGGGCATCAGTGTGGCGCTGGCACACTCTACTTAAGAATTCACTCACTTGACGCAAGGAAAGTGCATTATGCAGTGTTTCCAGGGGGTAAATGGTAGGCACCATGGAGCAGCCTTCAAAGCCTGTTAGGTAGAGACAGATAGAGTCAGTATTATACCTGCCATGTGCCACAGCTGGCCACGGCAGCATGGGGAGTGCCTGGGAACCATCAAGAGAATTGGTGCTTTTTGGAGTACAGAGTATCCAAGACTCTCAGGAAAAGGAGCTCTCTAGAGTCCCTACGGGCTCTTTTTACTTCACCTCCAACTTCCCTAAAAACTCTACCTGCTTACAGCTCCTGGTGAATCAAATCACCTCTTAACCTACCTATGGAGAGCCTATAACGTCCCATGGAGACAACAACAGAACCCCAGTAGGGTAAGTACCTACAATGCTTCTAGAGCTTTCTGTGGAATAAGACAAGTGTTCCGAGGTAAGGGGTCAAATTGTAGGGTCTAACATGAGGTAGGGAGGTCACAGAGCTGGGAAGAAACAGCAGATTTCAGGGATCATGAACAAAAGAACTATATTAAGGAGGAGGACATGGAATCTGAAAAGGGGTTCATGCAGATTTAGGATGGAGATAGAAAGGCTAAAATATTTGGAAGCAAGCTGGAGGGCATGCAATACACATGAAGCTCAGCCCAGGAAAACCACATGCATGATCAGGCTTGGGAATGGAAGTTCTTTCTTGGTCATTTCCATTACATTAAAGCTTGTCCTTTCTGATCTCACTGGAAGATCCCAGACTTGTTAGGATCTCTCTATTGCATCATGAAAATGAGGCAAGCCCCCTAAAAAATAAAGAATGCTGTCTCTGTTCTCTAAACGCAAAACTTCAATGCAGGTCCACCATCCGGGGAGGATCAAGGATAAACCTAATATTAAGGACTGCTGTTGGAAAAAAAAAATTTCCCATTTGAAGATCAAGAAACGCACATGACCAGTGACTTCTCCCATCCCCAATCTTTCCTATGCTTCCATTGCATCTCCTAAAGGGACTACAGGTAGGCAGAACAGCAGTATCTATGTAATACTCAGTCTCTGGTTCACCAGTAACTTGAATGGAATTATCTGACAAGCTTCGAGCCTTTGGCCCTTGTTTACCTCAAAGATTCAAGAAAGGGCCACTGAAATCTCTGTGCCTCAATCTCATCCTGCGATCACAGGGAAAGGGGGTAGGAGGAGCAGTGTCTAGCTTCTCAGAGTGGATAGAAAATGTTTAGATTGGAAGATGGTGGTAGTAGAGGGTTTTAGAGATAAGAACAAGTCCAAGGGCAAGAGATTAACTCCTAAAGTGAAAAGATCTGAGAAAAGATAACGTTAGCATGTGGTAAGGAAGGAGGCTAGGAAGGGATGAGCAGCCAATGCTACAGCTACGAAACAGTCTGGCGCCAATCTCATTCAAGCAACTGAATGCAAGTCACATCACTTTAGGGGAAATAGAAAGGCACAGGTGGGCGCTCCTGCCAGAAACACGATAAGCAAAGCAGTCAGCTCCAGCCAGGGGAGTGGCAGCAGCCAGCTGGGTGGCAGGGGGTACCGTAGAGGCACTCGGGGTCATCCTGGCCTGAGCGCAGCCAGTTCCGGAAGAGGCGCAGGTGGTAGGAGCACTGGTGCAGGTGATGCGCCAGCGTGGCATCCAAGGAGACTGGCCGGCCCCCCGGGCAGTCAGAGGAAAAACTGCGCAGCAACTGGACCACAGGGTGCTGGTCATCCAGCAGCTCTGGAGGGGTTGGGGGGAGGGACCACGGCAGGAAGCACAAAGGTAAAGAAAGAGAAGAGGGAGAGACAATGAGGGGGGCACTGACTAGCACAAGCACACTGGGAGATGGGGGCTGCTCAGCTCCAATGTGAGCTAAGAGAGAAGTAGAGTCGCTGGGCATCTATGTAGGGCAGACAGTGTTGGCATCGCAAAGTGAGTCTTGAAGAAAGGTCTGGTGAGACTGCATGGTACAACAAAGCTCTCCCTTCTCCCTTGGGAAAATTCAGTCAGTCAGTGGAAGAGAGCAGCCATGTCGTTCCCCGTGGGGGTGAACTGTCACTTCTGTGGTGGGGAGCCTTGTGTACAACTCCTGTGTCCCTGATCTTTCGTGGGCTAACCTAGCTGAAGGCGGCTTCTCAGAAGAATGAACTTAAAACGTTGGGACAGAGATGAAAGGTTTCACAATCACCCAGAGAAGAGGATCAAGAATGGTATAAGGTATCAAGATAAAGTCGGAAGCTTACAAATTATCCTGAAGGTTAAGATCAGGCCCTCTGGACCAGGTTCTAAGATAGCTCCAGAGAGAAGTGGTACTGGGCAGCTGGCATAGCAGGTTAGCAGATCAGGT